AAAAAAAAAAAAAAAAAAAAAAAAAAAAAAAAGAGAATATAGATAAGAAAAAATTTTTTTTTTTTTAATATGTTTATAAAAAAGAATATAATGTTTTAATTAAAATAAACATAGATAAAATAATACAAGATCTTCAAAAAGAAATACAAAAAAAAATAACTTTTTTCTATATTTAGAAAAAAAGAAAATATACATACATATTTGTATTCTTTCATATATATTTTTTACACCAACATAAAAAGAAAAAAAAAACAAAAAAAAAAAACGAAAAAAAAAAAAAAACTCTATAATAAATTAATTAGAAACATGCGAGATTATAATAACTACATTATATTTTTTATAAAAAAGTTAATTAAAAAAAATGTAAAAGAAAATTAATATATTTATGTAGATTTAAAGAAAAAAAAAAAATATATATATATATATTTAGAATATTTTTTAAAATAAATTTAAATAATTTTAATTATATATATTTGTATATGTGTTTATTCTTATAATAATGTATAAAATGGAAAACGAAAAAAATATTTTAGATGAAATTTTTGAATTTTTATATTCAAAAAACAAAAAGATAAAAAATGAAGATATACAGTTACTTAAAAATGGCATAAAGGATCTTTTAAAGGATGGAAACAACGAACAAATTATTTACCAATTTCTTAATTTAATATTATTCACAAAAGATGAAAAGTATATAAAAAATAATTTTTGTAATTGTTTACGTATATTTTCTAAATTGTTGAATGAAATAAATAATAAAAATTTAAAAAAAAATATATTTGATTATATTTTAAAAAAAATAGATAATGGTAGTATTAGTTATTTCGATAGAGCATTAATATGTAAAAGATTTTTTTATATGTGTACCTTTTATGATACATTAGATGAGTTGAAAAACAATCCATCATTTAATAATTTGTTTATAAATTGTTTAGCTTTCTTAGATAGTTTATTTTATAGTAATAATAAATTTATTGAATTAAGAAATAAATTTCGTAACATAAAAAGATGTATTATTTGTAAATTAATTACAATTTTTAACAATATCTTTAAAATGAATAAAGAGATAAATGAAAATGAGTATATAAATAAACTTAATGAAGACTTTGAATATATTTTAAATAAATTTACAAAAGATAATTTTTTTTATATAATTGTAGAATCATTTGGTTCATTCATGTATAGCAATAATAATAATAATTTATTAAATAGAGAAAAATATATGGAAATATTTATAAATAGTTTTAGTAATCACTTAAACTCAAGTGAAGAAATATCACTAAAAATTAATAGATCATTTAAATTTTTTTTTAAAAATATAAAAGATGAAAAAATATTGGACATAATATTAAAACACATTCATAGATTTGATGAAGCAGCATTAACGAACTCTACTGCATTTTACTACTACAATGAATTATATAATAAAGATCATTTTTATGATTTATTAGAGATTGTTATAAATGTAAAAAAAAAAAAAAATATTGAAAACAGTAATTTATTATTTTTAATCATTTTACATAAATTTCATACTAATAATGACAATGATTACATATTAAAAACTTTGTTTGAAAATAATAAAAAGTTAAATATTATTAAATATAATGAAAAAATTATATTTTTAAGAAGTATAAAATATTTACTATCTACTAATAAAAAGAAGGAATTAAAAGATATTATTATTTCGAACAAAAATATTTTAACAAATTATTTAAAAAATGATTTAAATGAAGATGTTAAATTAGAATCACTAAATTTTGTGAAAAGTCTGTGCAGCATTTTTAAAAACGATAAAGATATATATAATGCTTTTTCTACCAATGTTTTAGAAATACTAGAAAAATATGGAAAAAATAATGAAAAATTTTTATATTTTTGTTTATTATTTTATTTATATTCTGTTCCTGTTATAGAGATAAATGAAAAAATGCTAGAATCTTTTAGGTTTCACTTAAATATATGTTTAACAAAACAAATATTAAAACATTTGTATGGTGTTAATTTACTATTATTTTTAGTTATAAAGAACAAATATCCATCTATCAACGTTAATAATTACATAAATGAAATTTTACTTAAAAGTATATATAACCAGAATGAACTTTTTTATTTATTTGATAAAAATGAAATAAAAAAAATTCCTTTTGATAAATTCTTTTTTTACATGTATTCTCTTTGTTTATTACTTCATTTTATATATATAGAAAATCAGAAAATTATTCTTGAGTACTTGAATAAAATAAACAGTGACTTTTTAAATTTTATTTTTCTTGATAATATTGAAAAGGCAAAAATACAATTATTATTAAATTTCATTAATAATAGCAATAATAAAAATATAAATTTATCGCAAGTTAACAAAAAAGAAGATAAAAAAATAGAAAAAGATGTACAAAAAATAAATATAAACCATTTGAATATGCTTTCTATTCTTATTATATTATGTATGCTTCATTATCTACAAAAAAAAAATAACAAAATGGAATTAAAAAGAAGCAAAAACAAAAATTGTGAGAATTATATATTAAGTTTAAAAAAATATATAAGTAATGACAATTATATTGAATACCAGAATTTTGTAGATGATTTTGATATGCTTTTAGATATTTTATTAATTAAAAAAGACATATATCAATTAATTTTGTATAGTTTATATAACTATTTATTTATTTACTGGAATAACTCTCATCTTCAAAATACAAATTCATATATTTTAAGAAAATTTCTTTTTTTTCTTTTTTCCTACTTGACAAAAATAAATTTTGATAATAATGAAAAAAAAAATTGTTATACATTGTTACTTCTATGTTTTTGCCACCCTCAAATATTTTATAAGAATTTAACTAATTCTAGAAGTAGAAAAAAAATAAAAAAATTTTTATTAGACAATATAATAAATAATGTGAATTTTGATATAATTATAAGTTTTATTTTAAAAGGTTGTGATTATTATAACAATAAATTACACCAAAATTTATGCTTTAATTTAATTGAAATTTTTTACATTTTAGAAAAAAAAGATACCTTTATATATAATGAAGAATGTTTACAAGATGGAGAAAAAATAAATATTTCTCCTTATACTGACAATTATAATGTTGAATTATCTGAAAATACAGATACAAATGGATTAATTGTAATCAAAGATATTGAGATTAAAAAAAAGTTAATTTATTTAACAAGTACATTAATAGAAATGTTGGATGATAAAAACATAGAAAATATAAATGATGAGGTAATAGAGATATGTAAGTGCCCGTTCGACTTTTTATATGTAGATAAAAATGTTTATCAACCAACCATAGTAGTTGAAAATAAAAATATAAAAAGAAATAAACATTTAGTTTCAACTTATGGAGAAGAAACTGCAGAGTTAATTATGGAAGAACAGTTGAATAAAAATAAAAAAACAAATATAAACGAAACAAAAGAAAAAAAAAATAATAAAAATAAAGGTATGACAAAAGAAGAATTAGAAAAGGAAGAAATAAAAAAACAAAATGAAATTAGAACTAATATATATGAAAAATTAGAAAGAAATAAATATCTTTTAAAATGTATAAAAAAGATGAGTTACATTAATGATATATATGATACAAAATATATAAATTTATTTATAAAAAAAATTATGATATTTTTAAAGAATGATCTGACATCTAGATATTCCCAGAAATGTTTGAATATAATAATTAATAATATGATTAGTACAAAATTACTAACATGTAAAAATAAAATTACTAGATGTTTATACAAAATAAGTAAATATAACAAAGCTGATGAAACTGCTTTAATGATTTTTAGTTCATTTAATATCAATAAAAAAATATCTTATGTATTAACTCTGTTTTTATTTCCAATAGTTTTTCATAGTATTAACATAATAAATGATAAGAATGTAACTTTAAATATATTAAAAACATTAGACATATTATTGTATTCAAAAACAAAAATAAATAACGAAGATGCATTAAAATGCTTACAAATTTCTTTTTTAAAATACCCAGACCTTGATATAGAACTAGAATCGTTTTTAGATAACTTTAATTCATATTTGTTAAATAAAAAAAATATTAAAACACTTTTGGAACTTTGTATAACAGAAAATGAAAAACGTAGAAATGTTATAATAAAATCTTTACATAAATACATAAAAAATAAAGAAAATACAGATGCAAATATGGAATTATTTAAGCATGAACTAATATATAATTACATAAATATTTATCAGAATGATGATAATAAAGAAACAAAAAATTACTGTAAAGAAATTATATCCATATTAAATATTCCATGTGTAAGTGATCAATATAAACTTATAGATTCATTACAAAAAGAATGCTTAGATTTTCAAAATATGGTTTGCAAAACAATTGTAAGATCTACAAAAAAAAAAAATACAAAGCAATTAATAATACAATTAACATCGAAATATATAACATTTAAAGAATATGGAAAGATAGGAATATTGAAAACACTGGAATATCTATCTAAATCATATTATATTACTAATATAGATGATGTTGAATTGATTTTAAATTTTTTATTAGGTTTATGCTTAGAAGAAAAAAGTAACATAGATAAAATAAAAGAATATGTTATTATATGTGGTAGTTCATTAATCAATTCACACAATGAATACCTATTAAAACATAAAAAAAAGAAGGAACAAAAAAAAAATAATAATAATAAAGAGAAAATTATTAATAATAATTATGAATCATCAAATGACTGTAATTCAGAAGAGTCTTTTTATTTCTCTTCAGGTGAATCGTCTATATCAAATGATAGTATTTCTGAAAAAAAAAATGAAAAAAAATTGGGGGAATCATTCAAAAGAATATATAATGTTTTAAATAAATATAGAGACAATAAAAAGAGTAAACATAAAAATATATTAGATTTAGTTGTCGTAATTTTTTATGGATGTTTAGGTTCAAATTTAAGAAATGAGTCATTAGAACTATTAAACAAATTAATAGAACAAATATTACATAAAGAAACGGACAATTTTACACAAATTGAGATTAGTACAATAATACCCAAATTTATAGAAAATTTAAAAAATGATAAAGAAACAGGAGAAGAATTTAATAATATAAAGGAGAGTATTTCAAATGTGGAATGTACTAATTTAAATAGTAATAATAACAAAAATGCATTATTTGAATCTAATGGAAAAGATGAAAATACACTAAATAAAACAAAAGAAAAAAATAAAAATGATAAAAATGTTAAATTAAACAATAATGAAGAAATAAATGGAAATATTCAAATAATTAAAAAAAGTAAAAAAAAATTAAAAAATGAAAAAGAAAATTCCAATAGTTTAATTTACTTAGAAAGTTATGATGTAGATAGTTTACTAGATAAATTGTTTTATATAATTTTTAATAATAAAGAGTTAAAAATAAGAAAAGGATCTTGTCTATTGTTAGGTAGTGTTATAAAAGCACATGGTATAAATCTATTAAAAAAACATAAAATATTAGAAAAAGTAAATTCTTATATTCATTCAGAAGACATTATTAAAAGACAAAGTTTCTATTTAGCATATGGATGTTTATTTAAAGTATTAAAATATAAATTTGAGCCATATATATTAAAAAATTTTAAATTATTATTAGAATGCTATAAAGATAATGTAAACAATATAAAAGTTTTAGGAATTAGTATTATTGAAGAAATCCTAAATGATTTAAGTCAATATGGTATGAAAAAAATTTTACCATTTATTACCCTGAATTTAAAAAATTCTAGTATTAAAAATAAAGATATAATTTCATATTTAGACACACTACACTTAATAATTTCGAAGTTTGATTTATTTAATTACATTGATAATTATGTGTTAGTAGATTTGATCAACTTACTATGTGAATTAGTAGCAGAGACTAATACGAAAGTAAAAGAAATATGTATTAAAATTTTTAATAAATTAGAAAAAATGATTCCTAATAATGAAATAAAAAATATAAGTAGACAGTTGTTATTATGTATTTATTCTCCAAATGATGTTCATTTAAATGATTTTTTAGATATATTTACTTCCATATCATTTGAATTTAAAATTGATAATATTTCTTTATGTTTGTTATTTCCAATAATTAAAAAAGGTATTAATAATATAAGATTAGAAATAAAAAAAAAATCCTTACAAATATTTTTTTTCCTAATATATCTAGTTCAAGATCATTCATTATTTATAATTTATTACAATAATATATTTGAGACCCTAATAATTTTATTAAATGATGCAATACCTGATATAAGATATCTTACTGCAAAATCAATAGGAAATATTAGCCAATATTTAGATATGAACCAGAAATTATTTTATATCCAATATATTTTTAATATTCTTATAAATACAACTTCTTCTGTTGAAAAAAGTGGAGTTGCATTATGCTTATCTTCAATTTTGTCTAAATGTTCAGAAAATATTGCAGATACATTTATATCTAAAATTATACGTCTAATAGATATAAAGAAGTATATTGAAATAAAAAATAAACAAACCAAAAAGAAAAAACATAATGATTTCATAAATAAAATTGAAAAAAAAAATGAACATAAAAAAAAAAGCAATAAGCAAAAAATGTATGGTAATAAGCAACTGGTGAAACAAATAAAACATGAAAAGGAATATACAGAAGAGGATGAGGAAGAAGAAGAGGAAGAGGAAGAAGAAGAGGAAGAGGAAGACGAGGAAGAAGAAGACGACGAAGAAGAAGAAGAGGAAGAGGAAGATTATGAAGATGAGGATGAGGATGAAGAAGTTGATAGTGTTTATAACGAAGATGAAGTTGAAGACGAAAATGAAGAAGATAATAGTGATAATAATGAGGAATCTTATGATTTCGAAGTAGACGAGGATGATTATGGAATATATGATGATGAGGATGAAGAAATTAAGGAAGGATATTATAAAGACGATGATGATGACGATGAAGATGATGAAGAGGAAGAAGAAGATTATGAAGAATATAATGATGTAGAAAGTGAAAGTGATTCCTCAATTTATAAAAATAATGAAATAAAATATGATTATTTAAATGGCTATTATTTAATAAAAAAAAATGAAAATGATGAATATCTCATAAAAATAGATGATAATTTAATAAACTGGAGATTAAGATATGATAAAAAAGTTATAAAAAATGGAAGCGCAAAAGAAGGATTAATTGGATTTTTCATATATATGCCAGAATGTGAACAAAATTATACAGAAAAATTTTTAAAAAATATTTTACAAAAACTTATGTTATGTCTAAATGATACTAATGAAAAAATAAGAGATATTTCTTTAAGGGCATGTAAGGTTCTTATTGGTATTTACTCGAAGAATAATACTTCTTTAATTTTAAGAAATATTGAAAATAAAATTTATAATAATTACTGGAGATTAAGAAAAGATTGTGTTATTTTATTAAATATATTAATTGAAAAAAATTTAGAAATAAATAAGGAAGAAAAAGATATAGAATTATTACATATATTACATGAAAGGTTTTATTTTATGTTATCATTAATATGCATTATGAAAAATGATAAAAATATGAATGTAAGACAAGCAGCCTATAATATATATAAAAATTTTGTAAATAAAAGAATATTACAAGAAATGTGGCCTATATTATTAAAAAAAATTACTCAAAATTTATCTTCTAAAAATAATTTTAAACAGGTAATTAGTGCACTATCCTTAGGTGACTTAGTTTTTAAAACGGATTCTTCTTCTTTAGAATCCATTTTAGAAAACATGATTAAAGAGTTTAAAACTACTAAATATATTTCTATAAGAAAAGGTATATCACTGGGATTTTATGAAATTTTTTCTAAAAACAAATTTGATAATTTAATTGTTAGTCATATTCATAATATTATTTATATGATTAAAGAATTAGCTTATCATAAAAATACATCGGACAAAATAAAGATGTTGTGTTCATTATTAAGAAATATCGATCTGTCCATCTTGAAAAATATTATAAGTGACATTTTTAACAATGTTCTTACACATTCTCCAAACAGTTTAAGAGATTTCAGTTCTAAACAGCTTATTAATTTTAGAAGTATAAAAATATTCTTAAATGTTCATACAGATTTAGTTCTAGATTTCATATTAGATAACGCATTTAAACCACCCTATAACATTGCTAAATTAAAATTATTATCATATATTTCATATGTAAAATTAAGTACGTATAAAAATCTATTCACTAAAATTCTGAAAATATTTATTAATTTAATTTTATACAATTCGTTACATTCAAAAGATGAATACGATATAAAAAATTATTCAGCTATTATTTCCAGCTATAAAGAAGAAAGTGAGAATGACAAGAAAAATACTGCATCTATAGAAAATATAAAAAATAAATCAGATGAAGAATTCACTAAAGAAGAAAATAAAACAAATAATTTTTGTGAATATTTTTATAAAGTTCAAATAAATATGCAAGATATATCAAGATGCTTGAAAGATTTTCTAAAGTATATTAATGAAAAAAATATTGACACATTTACTGAGATAATATTCGCAGAATTGAAGAAATATTCCAGTAAAATAGACTTATCATATAATACATTATGTAAATATGAAAATGATTTAAAAATTGAAGGTACTAACAATATAGATTTAATGAAAAATTGTTCAATAATAACAGACCCAAATAAATTAAAAGAATTGAATATATTCGAATATAAAGAAGACAATGGAAGAATTAGAGAAATAATTTTGTCAATTTTTAAGTATTTATTAGACATAATAAATGAAGGAGACATTTCTTTAATTACCAATGAAAATATTGCATCGACTCACGATAACAGTACAATAGATCAAAATAACAATATGAACAAAAGGAAAAAAATAAATAAAAAAATTAATTTACTAAACATACATAGAATAACATTATATTTAAATTCTTTATCAAATTATGTATTATTTGATATAAATAGAAATGTATTAGAAATTTCATCAATTATTTATATTTATTTAATTGAATTAATCAAAAAATTAGATAATAATTATACTTATATTGATTTATTTCATAGTATTATAAATAAATATTGTACCGATAGTAATTTAAAAGAAATACCTGATGATAAATATGAAATAGTAGGTTTAAATATGAGCAAACAATTATTTGCTTCTTTCATAAATATGTTTACCAATGTAATTTTATTATCAACTAATTCAGAGATAAAAATTAAAACAATAGATATATTAAGAAAACTGTTTGTTTATACAACTACTGAAATTTCAAATTTATTTATTTTAAAAATCTCAGGTATATTAATACGTATATTAACTAATAAATACATAGAACAAGCAAAATATTATATTTTTTCAACTTTTGAAGTGTTAATTAAAAAAGGAAGTAATTATATAAAACCGTTGATACCCCAACTTCAGACATGCATAATTAAATCACTAAATAATGAAAAACTAAAAAATCAAATTATTCATATTTTAAATATTATATCAGAGAAAAAATTGTCAAAAGTAGATTTGCTTATTAATGATTTATTAAATAATATTAATACGCAAGTTAATATACAAACATCAGTAACTATATTAATGATATTGTCTAATATTTTAAATACTACAGATGTTAATATAAAAAATATTTTAAATAAAATTATAAATTCTATTAAAACACTCTTCAATCACAATAATAAGGAAGTATCTTTTTATTCATGCAAAATATATATATTGCTAATTTTTTTTCATATCCAAAATAAAAAACAATATTTAGAAAGCGTTTTATCATTAAAACATACTTTGGACATTAGTACTTATTATTTTATGTTACACATTAGTGAGATAAATAATTTTTATGATATTTTGAAAAAAGATAATTTATTAGATACATTTAAGCAATTATATATACATATGCTAAAGGATGAAATAAATAGCTTACAAATAATATGCTATCAAATATTCTTTAATCTATCAAGATACAATGATGATTGTTTATTGTTTATTTATAATATTGTCAACTATTTAAAATTACCACCATTAATTATGATTTCCATTGATATACATAGATATTATTTTAAAGGATTGAAAAACATTTTTAAGAAAAAAGCTAACATATATAAAGAAAATATATCAAATTTTTTTATTATTATAGATAATATATTCCTAGCATTATTTAATACTTTACCTGTTTTTAAATCATTGGTAATATATATAATATTTTTTTTTTTTTTTTTTTTTTTCGTGTATTATATAGTATTATAATTAATGAGAATACATTTGTTATTTTTGTTATTTTTTTTTATCTTTGTTTTATTATATTTTATTTATTTTATTATTTTTTATTATAGGGAGAAAGTTGTACTAAATATGTATTAGAAATATTTGATGAAAATCAATATAAAACAAAAATAGATTTATTAAAGGAGAAAATGGAAACAAAAAAATACAACCAGTTACTTGAATATGTAAACCGTGTTTTAATTAAAAAGCGTAATATTACGTCAGACTCAGAATAATTATATAATTAAACTTATTATTTGTAAAATTAGGAGTTTCTATTATTTTTTCTTCATAATTAACCTAATTTACATTTATTTTGTAAAAAATTTTATATTTATAAATAATATTAATTTTAGAAGGAATATTATTAATAATGCATCAAAATTATATAATATTTTATAAGCTGCTTATATATTACACTTAATTTTAAATACATAATTTTTATTATATTTTATTTGAAAAAAAGAAAAAAATTATACATCTTGTTTTTTAATACAATAAACTTAATTATAAAAACTTTTTTTTATTTTTATTTTTTTTTTTTTTTATTTTATAAAATTTATTTTAACATTCTTTATGATTAAATATCTCAATTTTTTTTTATTATTTTTAAATAAAATTATTTTTATATTTCCTTAATTTTTTATTATTTATATTTATTTTTCTTACTGCAACTAATTATAATACCTTCTTTTTATTGTCTTTTTGTTTTTTTTTCTGAGTTTTATAATTAATCATATGGTTTTATATAATAACAAAACTACTTAAGATGTACTCTACCACTTCTTATTCTATTTCTTTGAGCAACAAATTGAAAATTTTTAAAAAGTTTATATCTTCTACACATTACAGCTAAGTTATATGCTTCAAGGTAATCATTATTTTGAATTTTAAAAATTTGAAATTTTCGTATTCCTGCCTCATTATATACACATATATATGCATGATGAGAAGGATCATAAAAAACCCCTCTATATCCACTTTTGTTTTTGTCAGGAATAATTTTTATTTGTTTTATTAAATCATTATTATATTTTGCAATTAAATTGCTGTCATTAACATTTAAAGGTTTTTTATTTTTTTCTTTTTCATTATCCCCTTTTTCATTACTATACCTTTTTTGAAATTGCTTCGATAATATAATAGCTTTATTTCTAGCTGATTCAAAATTCTTTTTCTTTTTACAACTAAAACTCCTAAATACCTGAATTCCTTGCTTATAATAATATACTAAAAACCTTTTTAAAATATTATCATAAACAATATTTTTTCTACTATTTTGAATTATTCCAATACGTTGTCTTCTTTTTTTTTTTGGATAAAAAAATTCTAATCTTTTTGCTGAACAGTTATTTACTAATCTTTCTTCTTTTCTTTTCTTTTTTCTTTTTAAACCTCCACTCCTACCACTAAAAGACCTCTTCTCATTGTAAAAGAAGTTCCATTTTTTCATATATACATCTTTATTAATGCTATAATTTTTTTTATTATAATGAAAAAAAAGAAAACTCTTTTGATTCATAAGTTTCTTATTTAACAAATATAAATTAACATTTTTTAGATCGTTTATATCATTTTTTATTCTATATGTTGAATAGTTATTTGATGTTTTATTATTAAAATGATTTTTTAATCCATTTTTTAAAAAATATTTTAACTTAATAGATAACTCATTTTTCTCATGTTTATATAATATAACTGAAGAATAATATCTAAATATCATTTTTTTTTTTTTTTTTTTTTTTAATATATATTCATTTTTTACTATTATATTTTTATTAGTTCCATTTTTTAACCAATTATTTATGTTTTTTTGTATTATATATTTATGTATATGTATATATGATTTTTATTTTTTTTTTTTTTTTTTATACATAATGTAAATATTCTTTTTAACCAAAAAGAACATTATAAAAAAATTTTACAAAATTTTTTTTTTTTTTTTTTTGTTATATCACCAAATTATTGTAAATTGTTTTTCTGATATTTATTCTTTTATAATAATCATTTTTATGTATGCAAAAAATTATGAATATATGAAAAAGTAACATTAATATAAAAAAAAAATAGATATCTTGGTAAGTATATATATTAATGAATATATGTGTAAAGATTTAAATGAATTTATAAAAAAAGAAAACATAACATATATAAAAGCATAATGACACTAATAAGTGAACTTAAATAAATACATTAATATTTTATAAATTCTTATCCATTACATATTAATTAATAGTGTTTACTTTTTGATAATATTTTAGCAATGTATACTTATTTTTTCTAATTGATATTATTATTTTAAGAAAATAAATAAAAATATAATGTTACAATAGATAATTTATACTGTTATTTATTTATTTATTTATTTATTTTTTTTTTTTTTTTGTGTAATCAGAAAAATGTAAATTTTATTTTTGTTACAAACTCAAGGAAATACAAAGAATATATATAGAAATAGACTATAATGTTAAATGAAAATAAAATAAATTATAAGTAATATTTTCAATTGAAATAATAAAAATGAAGTTGATATAAAGATAAAAAAAAAAATATGTTAAAAATGTTTTGACATCTAAATATAAATGACAAAAAAAAAAAAAAAATAAAATAAAATAAAAAATAAAAAATAAGTATAAAAAAGCAACTATTAATAGGTAAGTTAGAATGAAATTCGTTCTCTTATTACTTGATATAATATTAATATTTTTTATTAAAATTTTAAAAAATTATGAAAGGAAATATATATTAGTTAAATGTAATAAATATTATTTAAAAAGATCTTTTAATGTTAAAAGAAATATTAAAATATTAAACTTTTTAAATTTATGTAATTCTAGAAAATTTTTTAAATTATATATGACTAGAAAATTCAAGTACAAATATAGAAATACTTTAGAAAAAAGGAAAAGAAAAGGACACATAAAAAACCAAATAAATCAGAAATTAAAAAAAAAACATAGTGCATATATTGTTATAACTGAAAAATTAAGTAAATTAGACCCTGATCAAAAATATTTTAAATATGATAAAAATATTTTAAAAGAATATGAAAATATAAAAGATATCTATAAAAATAGAAAATTAGGTAGAAAATTTAATCAATTCAATTACTGGTATTCGTCAAATAAAAAGGAAGCTAAAATTAATTATAGTAGACATGTAAATTTTGCTATAACTAATAATAAATTTAATTTTAAAAATGTATTTTCATACTTTCATATATTAGAAATTGTTCATGAAAAATTTAAAAATAATCCATTTTACATTAATGGGTTACAAGCATTTATAAATAAATATTACGATCCAGTTACACAAAAGAGAATTAAATTTTACGATAAGATAAAAGAGCAATTGGAAATTAAAAAGAAAAATGGTGACATAAATAAAGAAAAAGATACTAAAAAAAATATTTATGAAAAAGGTAATAAAAGTGAAACTGAAGAAAATTTAGATAATATAAATATAACTAGTGAAACACAAAAAGATGATAAAATTAATAAAAAAGAAGATGCTGAAAATAGTAATAATAACTTAGATATTATAGATGAAAATGAATTAAAAAATGATCAAATAGATGATACAAATAATTTTCAAAATGATGAACAACTCGAAAAGGAGGGAGTTACTAAATCAAAAAGTGAGTTTTTTGAATTAATAAAGAATAATATTGGCACTTTAACATATTCTCATGAGGTAAATGATGATTCATCATTTAAACTTTTTGGTTCTTCTACAAGCTGCATTTTGAAAAAAAATGCACCGTTAGCTTATGATATTAAAAATCCTTTTATGAAATCAAAATTATCATCCAAAAGAAGAAGATTTAAAGAGAGAAAACTTTTTGATATAATTAATTTTAAATGTAAAAATAGAAAAGAACGTTTAATGCTAAATGCTGTAAGAAAATTGTCAAAAAGAAAAATGAAAAATGAAAAATATGTTCTAGATTCATTGAAAGTTGCATAATATATATATATATATATTATAATATTGTTGAATATTCCAATAAATAATAATAATAACAAAACTTTTAAAATTAGAAATAACCAATAGCTTGAATGAATAGTTTTTTTTTTTTTTTTTTTTTTATTTTCCTTAAAACTTTGTAAAATTTTATTTGATATCTTTATATTTAAAGAACATTCATTAATAAAAAAATGTCTAATATTTTTTTAACAATTAATATATATTACAATTAGCACATTTTAATTTTTTTTTCTTTTCTATTTGAATATAATATAAAAAAAATAAAAGGTTTTTCTTAAAAAACAATGGACATACATATCAAAACCTTCAACTAAAAAATAAACACGAACAAAAATGAAAGGTAAACATTTAATATTACGCAACTATCGAACGTATGATAAGAACATTTTTTTTTTTTTTTTTTCTTATAATTAAAATTTTAAAAAGGTAATTAAAATAAAGAAAATTCAAAATTTTTTTAATATGATAAATATAAAATAAAATAAAAAAAAAAAAAAAAATTCAAATAATTGAAAAAAATTATTAAATAATAAAAATATTTAAATGCAATTTTTTTAAAATATAAACCTGAATTTTTGACTAAAAAAAAAATAAAATGTCCGGTAAAAATAAAAAATTGTCAGCATATCGGAATATATTTTTTTATGACAATTTAATTCCATTTTGTATTATTTATTTTTTTCACAATTTAATTTTTTTTTTTTCATATTTAACTGTTTTCATAAATTTTTTTTTAAAGATTATTTTATATTATTTAAATTGTTCAGTTTTCTTTTATTTCAGAAAACAAATCCTCTAAAGTTGACTTCTTTTTAATTTGTGTATTTTTTTTTTCATTAGAGAAAAGATTATCAAAATTTTTATTTTTTGTTACACCTGTAAAAAATTTGTCTAAGAACCTACTCTCTTTTTTTTCTAAATTATTTTTTGTAGAATTAATAAATAATTGATCATTTTGTTTAAAATTAGAAAAATTTTTTTTTTCTTCTTCTAATATATTTTTATTAGTGTTATAATATTTTTCATATATTTCTCTACGATTTTGTTCTTCGTCCTTATAATCTTCCTCATAATTTAAATTTTCTTCATAATTTTTATAATTTTCATCTTTAATTTGTCTTTTTAGATATTCATTTGTAAGTTCACTATGTAAAGTACTATATTCATCGTCTACTAAACTTAAAGCTAACATCATATTTTTTATATTTTTAAATAATCTTGATATTTTAACAGCTAACTTTTGATTTTTTTTATCATTTTTAAGTATTGCAAACATTCTCATGATCCATTTATCATATAACTTATTTAAAGATTTAAGAGTATCGTTAGCATTTTTATTCTTTCCATCATTCATATAATCATAAAATATATTTATAAATAATTGCTTGCAGTAAATGTCAACCCTACATCTCATTTCATCATATTGTTCCCATGGTAAAATAGCTGACTCATCATTATTGGAGTCATTATCTAAAGATAAATTTGGATTTTTTTGTAGCAATTTAGCATATTTTTCATATTTAATTAAGTTACATTCACTCATAATAATATATTTTTTTTCTACATTATATCCTAAACAACTTTCAATTTTATTAGAAGAAGGTTCTACTTCGTTTTTATTCAATTTTATAACAGATATTTGCTCAAAATTATCAAAATATAAAGGATAATAATTATAACTAGCACTACTAATTATTTCATTCTCATTGTTATTGTTATCATTCTGCATTTTATTATTTTCCTCATTTTCTTCTGATAAATCTTTTTCATTTATTTTATAATTATTTTGTTTTTCCTCGCTCTCATTCAAATTATTTAAATTAAATATAGGAACCCAATCATAAACAATATTATTATCTTTTTTAAATAATGGATATAAACCATATATATAATTAGATGTATCTTTTATATAAGGAATACCAAAGTTAGACATATTTATCCAATTTAAATAATGACAAGCTGGAAGAGATAAAATATCGTCATATAATATAGTTATATGATATGTGTTATATTTATTTGCTTTTATATTAGTAAAATTCTCATAAATTTTATAAAGTGTGCAATTATATGTATTATTTAAATTATAACTACTAACATTCTCAAAAATATATTGGCAAGTTACTACAAAAAGTAAATAATCATATGCACAAATAGCTACAGGCAAACCTTTCAACAGAATAGTATTAATAATATAACCATAAACAGAATATATTCTTAGAAAATTGTTAGAGGTAACAACGGCAACAAAATTATTACCATTAGCTACCCCTTTTATAAATTCATCAGCTGGTAAATATTTATTCCATACAATATTATCCTTTAAATTATGAAAACATAATATGCTATTATTTTTTGAAGGGGATTTTTCATATGGATTTGAAGCTAACGCAAAACCATTTGTACTTAAAGATGCACAAGTTACATTATATAAGTCTGTAATTTTTTTCCTACCAACTTCTTCTCCTCTAAATAAAAATATGTAAATATAAGTTTTATTTCCTTCCTTTTTTTTTGTTATATGACCAATATCATTCCAAAACATACACCACTGATCGTTTATATTTTCCGGTTCTTCACATAAACCTGGTACTAAAACTATAAAATCATCAAGATTAATTTTAGTATAATTCATAATTTGTTTTTGTAATGAATCTACTTGCTTCTTTAATTCTTTTAGCTGATCAAATTTTTCTTTAATATAACAATTAAAACCAATTACACTTTTTTGATCATCATCATTTTCGAATAAAAAATTTTCTTCCCTGTTATTTATAACATCTTTATTTTTATTTATAAAATTTTGTAAATTATATTCCTTCGGATTATATATATTTTCTTCATCATCATTATTATTATTATTATTATTATCATATGTACTATATATATAATCATCATTTTCTACATACTTCATATTAGTTTTATCAACTTTTTTATTTTCATAACCTTGCTCTTCTTTGTCTTCCCTTTTATTTTCTTTATCTAAGTTTTTATCTTTTGCAAATTTTTTAAAAGATTGTTTAAAAGATTCTTCAGTTTCATCATCATCAATAAATATTTTTTTTTTTCTTTTTTTATTATTATAATTATTTAAATTAAAATTTTGTGAATAATTACTATTCTTCTTTTCATCATTGGAAGAAGCATATTCTTTATTAATTTTATCATCTTCAGTTTCAAAATTATTTATATTATCATTCTTCTTTTTATTATTATAATCACATAAATTAATATTGTTTACTGAATTATATTTATTATTTGATATTTCATTACTTGTGTGTTCATAACCATTTGCAAATATGCTTCCCTCATCGACATTGCTTCCTTTTCCTGAATCATTATGTTCTATTTTTTTTAAAATATTTTTATCTAATAATTTTATATTTGCCAAATGATTTTCCTCTGCTAATAAAGAAATATGTAAATAACTATTAAAATAAGAAAGATCAAAATGAGATACTAAATATTCACTTTTAAATTTATATAAACAGCATTCCAACTCAAAATCCCATATACAAAACAAATAATCAGCGCAGCTTAACGTAATTAATAAAATCACATTATTCGAAATTGAGATAAATTTTGTCAAATTAATAATTTCTTCATGCAATTGTATACAAGAAAAATCATAAACTTTATAATTATATAAAGTTAAATATCTAGCTGATTTTTGTCCACATAATGCTATACAATGATTATTTGGATGCCAATCGCAATTTAACATGTACTTGTAATTTTTTGATAAATTAAAAATATTCTTAACTTCAACACAACTATTATCATCATTTGTATTATGCATATCCCCGTTCATATTTGATTCCTTATTTTCTATTTGAAATTTACTTTTAAAAATATCATAAATATATAAATTATTATGATTAAATAAAGCTACGTTTTGATAATTATTACTTAAACAAAAATTATAAGTGTATTCATGAAATGGGAACTTGATGGAATTCTGTAATTTCTCATTGTTAAAAATTAATGTAGAATCCTTGTATAATATTAAAGAATTTATAATATTTTTATGAACAAATAATTTAATTTTAATTATATCACATATTTTTCTATATATTAATTTTTCAAAAACAAATAATTTATTTGCTTCTTCTTGTGAGCATAACCATACATTTCCTTGTTCAAAAGCAATGCATACATAATTAATTTCTTCTTTATTTAAATTAGTATCACTATTTAAAAAATTATTATTATTTAATGTATTTTCATTTATATTATTTCTATGTTTTTTTAATTTTATATTATTGGAAACATATACAATCTTTTCATTTTTATCTACATCTTTTATGTTATATATGCCAATATTACGAGCTCTAATTATATTTTTATTTTCTTCATAATCATAAAATTTAATTCTATTTCCACTTACTAATAATAAATTATTGTCATAATGTCTTAAGAAAACAGAATTGTTAATATCTGAATAGTATAAATTTTCCATTTCATTCAAATAGTGTATTAATTTAAAAAAATATTTTTCTTTTTATTTTATATTTTAAAATGATCAAACAAATGATAAGAATTGAAAATAAAAAAAAAAATTAAATAAAAAAATATATATACATTATATTAAATATTTTTAATATAACATTTTTTAATTTTTTACAACAATTTCTTATTTTTCAACAATTATTTTAAATGAAAGTTTACTCATTTAAGGTTTACAATTATAATTAAAAATATTAAGCATGTATATTGATTTTTACTTAATTAAAAAAAAAAATTTAAGAAAAAGTTTAAAATTTTTTTAAACAAAAATAGTAGATCAAAAAATGAATTTAGAAGACGTATATATATATAAAAAAAAAAAAAAAAAAAAAAAAAAAAAAAAAAAAAAAAAAAAAAAAATACTAGAAAAATCAAATGTGATAATATAATATACATATAAATATATAAATTTGTAATATTTTAAAAAACAGTTCTTCTTTCCTCAACTTATATTGAAGAATTGAAAAAAAGTTAATTAAAAAAAATAATTTTTAATATATTAACAAAGAAAAAAAAATTTATGTGTATATATATACATTTTAAAAAATAATAATAAAACAATGTTTTCTAAATTTCAGTATATGCTTCAAAAGTAATTAAATAGAAATAAGTTATAAAAGATGGAAACAAAATAATTGTGTAGAACTAAAAAAAAAAAAATATGTATTAATGAAACTATATATACGATAAAAATAAAACTTTAAAGATAAAAAAAAATAAACAGTGTTAAATATCATTTTAAATCCTTAAAAAGAAATAGTAGAAAAATAAATATTGAAATATGAAAGTAAATAACTTCAATACTCTTCGTAGTAAGAGTTCTTTTCTTTATATTTTTGAACTTTTTTCTGAAAGAAAAAAAAAAATTGTAATAAACATATATAAATCTTTGCTTTATTTTTTATTATTTTCTTTTTTTTTTTTTATAATTTACTATAAATGATTCTTTTAAATTAGAAACTTGAGATAATAAATTGTTTATATTTTCAGAAAGAAGCTTAACTCCTGCAAATCCTTTTGGTTTAATTGTTATTTCAATCGAATTTTCAAGAGGATGTGGTTGTCTATATGCCGCAAAAGTAACTTTAGGATCTTGACAAAGTTGTCTAGTAAAAAAAATAGTCATATAGTGATATATTGTAATAAATACTTTATTTTCACTTAATTTTTGAATATAAATGTATAAATATAAATTTTACTGTTTTATTAAATTTCCTAATGTGTGATCTTCTAATTTGATTATAAATATATTACAATCACCCCTTTCAGAAATTATACATTTAACTCTAAAAAAAATTTTAACAAATAGAAAAAGCAAAATTTTTTAAAAGATTTATTTATTTATTTTTTTTTTTTTTATTATTATTAAAAATAAAAAATGTAAATAGTAAAATAATTTAAATATAATAGTAAGCATTAGGATCTTTTACAAAATAAATTAAAATTTAAAAAATGAATTACATATATGTTTTAAATATAAAACATTCATTATAGATATACTCCTTTGAAAGTTTATAAATATACATATATTTTATATAATTAAATAACTTTTATTTATTTTTGATTTAATTTTTTTTTAGATATACTTTTTTTCTCCTGGTCCTAATACAAGCAAATCAATATTTTCTGGTTTGTTAGATAAGGTAGGTACAGACATTTTTTTTAATTTTTTCTTCCTTTTAATTTAAATATAAGATTTAGCTATAATAAGAATTATTTTATTATTTTATCTATTATTTATTTCTCAACTATGAAATAATTATTTGTTCTTTTAAATATATATATATATATATATATATATATATATATATATATATTACTTTTTGTAAATACTAAAAATATGAAAAAAGAATTTTAAAAGAAAAAAAAGAGTTAAGAAATATATATCAAGTATTAAAAAAATTAAAATAAAATAGTAATAAAGTAAAAATAAACTGAAAGAAAAAAAATTTTTTAAAATTACAATTTTATTTTATAAAATAAAAGATAAATTATGGCAAACTTAATTGTACATTATCAAAATAAAATGAAAAATTAATAATCTATAATATATAAATTTTTACTGAAATATTTAAGATTATACTAAGGAAATCATAAATTTTTTTTTTTTTTTTATAGAGATTAATTTATTTTTAATATATAAGAAAACCTTATGTTATAATGAAACTACATTTAAATATTTTTATTTTAAATTTTGAATCTATATTTCCTTTTTAGTTTTTCTATTTAATAAAATATTTTGTGACACTATTTTTGTTGTTCTTTTTTTTTTATTTTGAATTTATTGAATTTTTTTAAATTGGTTTTAAATAAATTTAGGAGATATATTAAATAAAAAAAAAAAAATATATTCATTATAAAAAATAAGGTTTCACTAAAAAAATAAAAGCTAAATAGTCCCATGAAAATATATTATTATTTTTACATATTTGAAATTCTATTTATTTTGCAGAAGTTCATAAACATACAATATTTTATTAATTTTTAAGTGTTGACGGATTTATATAAAAAAAATTTTTTTTAAAAAAAAATATTATTTGAAATATATAAGATGGAAAATATGAAAAAAATTATAGCTATTTGTTGGCTTTTAAAATAAAACAAATGAATTAACATAAATTGTATATTTTTACAAAATAATATTTAAGGTATTAAGAAATTTTTTTGTATTTTTTATAAAAATTTATATAATTGTCTAAGATTTATTCTTAAATAATTATTTATATTTTTTTTTTCTATTTTATTCTTTTTTTTTTTTTTTCTTTTTTTTGAGTAAATTTTTATACAAAACTAATGTAAATTTAGTATTATACAATTGTGTTGACATATGTAGTAATTTAAATTTTACATAAAAATTTAATGAAAAATATTTTTAAAACTTCTTTATATTATGAAAATTTAAAAGAAAAAAAAAAAAAAAATAGTCTTAAATTATTTGTAAATATATGTTACAAAAATAAAAGCAAAAAACAAATAAAAAAAATACACAACTATTTTAATTTATTTATGTTTCACTTTTTTTTTTTTTTTTTTAAATCAATATATATCTACTTGACGTTAAGAATATTAAACACATATTTTATTAAATAATGTATATAATTTATTAAATTTTTTTTTTTTTTTTTTTTTTTTACTTCTTAAACCTTTTAATATTTTAAAATGTGAAATATAGAAAAATTTAAATATTCTTAAAAATATATAAATTTTATATAGGATAAAATATTTATTTGCATAAAAGGCACTTTAATTTGTTAATGTATTTTAATTCTATTTTATTTATAAATAATATTCTGTTGGTGAACATATTTAAATATATATATTTATATATATTTTATTTTGATCATTTATTATTTTATAAAATCTTTTTTTTTCATTCTTGTGTAATATATATTTATATATATAACATATTCTAATATTTTAGACAGTACTTATATAAATATATTTTAACATTTTAGTGAAAAGAACTTTAAAATGTTTATCTTAAATATTACATTTTTTTTGTTTTTTTTTTTTTTTTTTTTTTTTTTTCATTATATTAATTTTTAAAAAAATATGTAGAAAATTAGTTAAAATATAATAATTTTAGTAAGCTCAGTTTTTAAGAAAAGTTTATAAAAAATTTTTTAATTTTCAGTAAAAATTAAACTTGTTTTTTTATTAAAATATAATGTTATGAACTAATTGTTTTTATTTTATATTATTTTATATAATTATTTTCTTTTTTTTCCTTCTTTTATTTTTTTGTTGTATATTTGTAAATGGTACAAATCTACGAAGAATTTTTTGTTTTATATATTTTAATAAAAAAAAAAACGTGCATATAATAAATTAGTAATAAAAATATATTGAATTTTTGCTACTCTATTTTATACCTTAAATTTTTTATTATTTTTTGATATTATTGTTACCTTATTTTTTTTTTAATCTTTATTTTTATTAAAATTAATGATTAATTTATATCTTTATACACATAAAAAAAATAATTATTCAAATGCAAAGGTGTAAAATAAAATTAAAGAAAGTTATTTGATATATTATATAAGCATATATCTTATTATTTTTATTTAAAAAAAAGAAAAAAAAAAAAATAGTATAAAATAATGCTTTTATTAAATTTTCTATATTCTCATTAAAGATTAAAAAAAAAAAATAATAGTAAAAAAAAAAAAAGTGAATTCCTTCAAAAATATTACTAAATTAATAATATCAATTTTAGAAATATAGATTTTAACAATTGTAATAAAAATAATTATATTATTAAAAGAGATATATTACAACCAAACAGTAAATTTATAAATTTTGATAAATTTAATAAAAATAGTACCAAATAAAAATATAATGGTTTATATTAAAGTAAAATAACAAAAATTTACAATATGAATTATTATTACAACCTAAAGAAAAAAAAAGAAAAATTTTGAAAAGACATATATGTATGCAAAAATATGTAAATAATAATTGTAGAATATTTATTGATATACATTCTAGAAGAAAGTAAAAAGTAGAAATAAAACATAAACATAATAAAAATAAAAAAAAATAAATTTTATGAAATAATGAAAAATTACAAATCTAAATATAAGAATAAAAGAGGAAATAATGTACTAAAATTAAAAGATAATATATATATAGAAGGATTAGAATATAATATAATATCTCCATATTTTATCTTAAATGATAATAGTTTAAGAAAAGATAGAAACAGTAATGATATATATTGTACTTTAAAGAAAAAAAGTGTTAAAGAAAATATAAAAATCCCAAAGAATATAAAAAAAAAAAAAAAAGATTTAAAAGAAAAATTGGGAAATGATAGTAATTCAACTTCTGATAATAGTATTAAAAATAATTTGATTTATTTTAATTATCCATTGAAATGTGATAATAAATGTGAAAAGGATACAATTAAAGGTATAAATTGCAACAGTAATGATAATAAAAGAAATAAAATTTTATTTAAATTATTAATTAATAAATTTGAACATAAAAAAAAAAAAAATATCAGTGTTTTATTTAATAAAAAATATAATAAAAGTATAAAAAATGAAAATGAAAAGCCAAATTTAAGAAAAACAACTTTTGTTGGATTGTTAAGAAACTCTTCAAAAAGAATTTTAAATTCAGCAGAAAAAGTGAAAATATTTAAAAATTTTTTCTTTAAAATTAAAAAAAAACATAATAATTTAAATGAAAATCAGAATTTTGTGGAAACTAATCAAAAAAAAATCATATATTCCTCTTTGAATAAAGACACTATCTATTCAAAAAAAAAGGAAGGGATCAAAAATGAAAAAAAAAAAAAAATAAATAGTAGCATGCTAATTAATTCAAGTTTATCAATAGACACACAATTAAATACACAAGATGAAAATAAAAACAGAAATAAAAATAATCAAATAGTATCTAAAAATCATAAAATAAAAAATTACGAGTGGAATATAAAAAGTTATAATATAAAAAAAGAAAAGAAAGAACTAAACCAAAGTTCTACATATTACAACAAAAGAGATACACTCAAAATAAAGGAAAAAAAATATAAATTTACAAATAAAAATATTTTTTCTTTTAATAATAAGGTTTTAAAAGATAGAAAATATTTGGGTATATTGAATGAAGGAGAGGATTACATTAGGATGAATGATTTTATTTTTTTGAATAGTTTTAAAGGAAGATCTTTGACACCCAAAAGAATTAAAAAGTTAAATAAGAAAAAAACAAATAATTACAATACATCTGATATAGAAGAAGTAAAAAATGATAAAGTAAATTCAAAAGACAGTGTAATAGAATATGGCTCATTAAATCCAATTATAAAAAATAATTGTAGTAATAAAATAATGTTAACAGAAGAAACAAAAATGAATAATAAAGATAAAAAAAAGAATTTTTATAATGTAAAGAATAATATAAAAGATAAAAATATGAACTATAATAACATAAATAAAAAATTTTTGAAAATTAATGAAAAAAATAAAATAGTTATGAAATATGAGAGAATCTTAACAAAAGAGAAAAATATAAATCAGATAGAAAATATATCTAAAATATGTAAAGAAAATTTTTTTAAAGATGTTGTAACTAACAAAAAAAAAAATGAAGATGATAAAGAAAAAGAAAAAAATAGTGAAGAAGTAAATAATAACATAGAAAAATATGAAAATAAAAATGAAAATGGAAAGAAAAAAGATAGAAACAGTAAGGAGGAAAATAATAATGAAAATAATAATGAAAATAAAGATGAAAATAATAATGAAAATAATAATGAAAATAAAGATGATGAATACAATGAAAATAATGGGAAAAAAGACCAAGCAAATAAAGAAAATAAAAATGACGAAAAAAATAATAAAGAAAATAGTGAAAAAGGAGATAATAACAAAAAAAAAAAAGAAAATGACAATGAAGAAAAAAAAAATAATAGCAGAGAAAATAGTGAAAACGATGAAAAAAAAAAAGAAGATAGTGAAAAAGATAATGAGGATAATAAAAGTGAAAGTGAAGATAATGAAAATGAGAATGACGATGACAATGAAAAAACCAAAAATAACAAAAATGAAATTAAAAATATTAAAAAGGATGCAACCATAACTAAAGATGATAATAACAATTTATTAAACAAAATGTATTGTGAATTTAATTCTGATTTAGTTCATGAAAAAAAAATTAAAAAAATAAACAAGAAAATAGAAGGTGTATTAAACTATAACCATGATAAATATAAAAAGAAAGACAAAAAAAAAATTAAAATGAGAAAAAATTATTTTGGGTTTATGAAAAATAATAACTTTCCTAATAATATTGATAATAAAAATAATGAGGAAAAAATTATCAAAAAAAAATTTTTTTTTAATGAAAAAAGTAGGTCAAAGATTAGAAATTTTATTTACAGAACTGAAATATTTAGTCTATCTAAAAAAGATAATAATAATATGAATAATAAAAAAAAATTAAAAAATAAAGGAATGCATATAGATAAAAAAAAAGACTTAGTAAAAAGTACGTCTATATTAAATTATATGAATTCAAATGATTCTTTTAAAAGCAATGAAAATAGTAAAAAGTATATTGAATGTTGTACAGATAGCAGCAATATAGATTTGAACAAAAATCATGTCAAAAGTATAAGTAGAGAAGAATTTACAAATTCATCAGATGTAAAAAGTAAAAATGAAGAAGAAAGAAGAAATATAGAAAAAAGGAATTTAAAAAAAAAAAAAAATGGTTTTTCCATAGATAAAAAAAAAATAAAAATTAATGAAGGAATTACAAATGAAAAAGAAAATAGGGAATTAGATTATAATAAGAATGAAAAACATAATGAAAATATTCTAAAACACATTAATGAGAGTATAAAAGATGGTAAACATTTAACAAAAATTACAAATAGTTTAGAGGATGATAAAAATAATTTAGATAATACAAAGAAATTAGATGTTTTAAGCAACTTAAGACAAACAAACAATTTATTATATCAAAAAAATATGAATTCTGTATGTAATTCAAATAGACTTAATAATATAAATGATGAAAATACAGATTCTAATTACCCTTCATATATTAAGAATAAAATAAATATTAAAAATTTAATTACAAATATTACTCAAGAAAATTTGTATGAAAATTATTATATGAGAAAAAAAAAAAAAATTGAGAAGAAAATGGATAAAATAAAAATAAAAAAAAAAAAATTTCATTCCTATTTTAAAAAATTTAGATCTTTTTTATTTTTTGAAAATAGAAAAAATTCCAATAATTTTTCTCATAATAATGATGGTAAATTGAATACAAAAATTAGGAAAAAAAAGTTTCATATAAAAAAGAAGAAAAAAATAAAAAAATTAAAAAGATTAAGCTTATTAAATATATATGATACAAAAATGTTAAGTAATAAAAATCAAGATGAAAGTCTTTTAAATATAAATTATGAAAATTATAATTCAAATAAGTATTTATTGGGAAAACAAAAAGAAAAAGACAAAGTATATTTGCAGATTTGTTGATGCTTTTTTTTTTTATTTTTTAATTTTTTATTCATTTTTATATTAATGAATTATTTTATCTTTTTTTTTTTTAAAAGGGTAAAAAAACAATTGTTCTTGATTTAGATGAGACACTAGTTCATAGTTCACTAAAAAAGGAAAAAGAAAATTCTTTTAAAGTAGATGTAATTATGGAATATAATACTTTTAAAATAAAGAGATATATTTCTTTTTCACATTTATTTATTAATTTATTCATATATAAATATTTCTATTTTTTATATATTCAAATATATTTATTTTTATACATACTATATTTTATTTTTTAAAATTTTTTATAGATTGATTTAGATGACGGTCAATATTTCATTTATGTTAATAAAAGACCAGGTTAACATAGGAATAAATAAAGAAATGGAAATTAAGTAAATATGAAATTATGAAATAATATTACAATATATTTTTATTTACATATGCAGGTGTTGATGATTTTTTCAAAGAAATATCTAAATATTATGAAGTAGTAATTTTTACTGCAAGTTTATCAACAGTATAAGAATTAAATTTTTTTTTTATTATTTTAAAAAATTTAAATGGAAATATATTTTTTTTTTTTTTTCTTTTTTTTTTTTTTTTGTAATAGTATGCAAATGCAGTAATTGATAAAATAGATGTAGATCATGTTTGTTCTTATAGATTATTTAGAGAATCCTGTTCTTGTTGGTATAAATTAATAAAAAATAAAAAAAAATAAAAAAATCAAATTAGAATTATAAATTTCATATCTTTAATATTATAATCAAGCTTAAAAAAATAAAAAAAAAAAAAAAAAAAATTTTTACTTTTTATTAATATGTATTAGGAAAAATAATTATGTAAAAGATATCAAAAAGTTAGGAAGGGATTTAAACAATGTTATTATTATTGACGTATGGACTAAAATATATCATATGGATATATATATATATATATATATATATATATATATATATTTTACTTTTTACTATGTTTCTTTTTGTAGAATTCTATTTATGTTCAAAAATTTTGTGAAGATAACTGTATCTTAATTGAAAGCTGGCAAGAGATATTCTTATTTTTCTTTTTTTTTTTTATTTTCTTCATTTTATCTTAATATACAATAAAAAAAAAAATTGAAATTTTATATTTTTTATTATTAGGTTTGATGATCCTAATGATCAAGAATTATATAAATTAATACCATTTTTAAAGAAATTATCAAAAAAAGTAAAGAAAAAAAAAATAAATTAACATTTATAACATTTAATCAATTTTTTATGATCACAATAAAAAACACACACTTAATAAATATATATATATATATTGAATAATTTAACTTTTTCTATTTTCTAAAATTAATAATCATATTTATATATGTTATATAATATTCTTATAATTTGTTACATTTCACTTTTTACTTAAGGATTTTTTATTATTTTTTTTTATTTTATTTTATTTTATTTTTTTTTTTTTTGTAGACATCAGTTATATCTGAATTGAAAAAATATAATAAAAAAAAAAAAAAATAGAATAAAAATTTTGAAATTTTTCTAAAATTCAGTCTTTTTATATTTTTTTGGTTTATACAATATATAATTCAGTTGTTTTGTAATTTTTTTTTTTTTTAATTTTTTGTTTACTTAAATTTCTTTTTAATTAATTTCTGAGACTAAACTAAAATAATATCTTTATATAATTTATTTGGTTTTATAATATTTCTAAAAGCTTTTTTTTTTTTTTTTTATATATTTATTATTTCATTTTAATTATTATAGGATATGTTATAATTTACGTTATTCACTATTGTAAAATTATAACTCTTATGGATTATTTGTTAAGTATCTTTTTTTTTTTTTTTTTTTTAATATTATTAACTATATTTTAGTGGTGTTATGATATTAATGAACAACATATTTAATTATAAAAATTGTTTATGTATCCTTTTATTTAAAATGAATTTTTTTTTTCATTCAAAGAATTCATGTGAACTTTTATTTAGAAAAAAAAAAAATTAGGAATAATATAATAATGTTAAATAAATGTTTTTAATAATACTGTACTTATAAAATTATTTATAAAATTATAATTATGATTTGTTATATATAAGATAAAAAAGAATACTAAGTATATATGCCCCAGTATATATATTTAATCTTTTGTATGGTTGTATTTTATTTTTACTTAAAAATATTTAAATATATTATTATTTAAAAAAAATATACATTTAAACATTAAAAAAGAGTTCATAATATAAAATGCGTAAATTTTTTACTTTTTCATTTATTTAATATTGGCAATAATATATTTTCGTATATATTTAATAGGTAATAATATATATTAGTATAGAAAAATAAAAAAAAAGTATGACTTTTAATATTAAATGATTTATTAGGAGTTATTGGTATCCTGCCTTCAGAGTCTAAGACGGTTGAGATTATTCCTAATCTGTATAAGCTCAAGTGTTCAACCCTTGCCTTTTAATTTTTAATTAACGAAAATGTTAACACTTGTAAAATATTTCAAGAAAAGTATCATATTGGAGGTCCTAACTTATATTATATATATATATAACTTTTAATTATTTCATATATAAAAAATTTATTTTCTTTTTTGTATTTTTATATAATTCAATATTTTTTTTTTGAAAAAAATTTTTTTTTTTATGTTTATGGCTAGATTGCTTTAGCAAATGTATTTTATTTTTTTTCTATTAAAATCTTTTGTAATAGTAAAAGTGTTTTTTTTTTTTTTTTTTTTTTTTATTAAAATATTATATTTTATACTAAGATTGTTTTTAGATAATTACCAAAAAATTACATATGTAAAAATAAAAGAAAACAATGTAAAAAAAAAAAAAAAAGCATATTTATATATAAATAATTATTTTTTTTTTTTTTATTAATACGAAGAATAAATATTCCAACTGTTAAGAAATTTAAGAATTATTACATGTACTAATAAATAGTACAGGCTCGAATCCCCTCTTTTGAAATAGAAATATTTATAATAACACTATAAGAAATATAGGAATTAAAAAGTAAAATTTTCCTTAACAATTCATAATTTTACATAAGAAATTAAGAAATTTTTGAAAAATTTCAAAAAAAACAAGCAAAAAAAAAAATATTTAAGAATTAATTTCTTACATAATAAGAAATTAATAAAAAAATAATCTAAATAAATTTACAAAGAGGATAATATATGATGAATAAAAAATACGATTAACTCACGAGTCCTGAGTATAAATAGAACTCAACACGACTCAGTTGAGCGTGAGTTAAAAATGAAATTAACCACATTCTGACAATTCTCTTTTTTTCTCTGTTTTATTTATTCATTTTTAATATTTCAGATATACTCTGATTTTTTTTTTTTTTTTTTTTTTTTTTTTTTTTTGTAACATATATTCATTATCCATTTTTTTTAAGTGTAGCAGAACAAATTTTTATATAATTACAATTGAGATTAATTTCGATAATTTCATTATTAAAAAAGAAAATTGTGAAAGGTTATTAGTATTAAGTTTTTTAATTATTACCAAAAAATGACATTTCATAATAATGCAAAAAAGAATTAAAAAATAAATAATATAATTCTTTAAAAAAATTAATATTTACAAAAAAAAAAAAAAAAAAAAAAATGATAAATGTTCTTTTCTTCTCTTATTTTAAAACTAAAGACAATAAATTTAACCTAATTTATTTCCATAATAATTAATTAGTATTTATTTTTTCTTTGCTAAAACATCTATATACTCACAACGTCCTATTAAAAATGGAAAAAAAATATATATGAAAAGAAATTAACAAAGAATAATAAATAAAAAATATTTTTGGATAAATGTTATATACCTATTTTATAAAGCTGCAAAATTTTGATGCATATTTGTTTTATATCACTGTAATCTACATCAAATAGCTTAAACCAGTTTGTTTCCTAAAAAGAGTAAAAAGCATAAAAAAAAAAAAAAAAAAAAAAAAAGATATAAGTAAATTAAAAAATTACATTATGGTAGTTTTAATACTTTAATTAAAGGAATATTTAAATTATAAGCTGCTAAAAAAATACTAGCAACCGCTATACAACGTGGTTGATACTCACAGCAAAGTGTTGTTCTCATGCTAAAGAAAGAATAAAAAAATTTAAATAAGATTAATTTAAAAATGATGTATGAAAATTAATAATAAAAAAAAAAAAAATGAATTTACAAGGGAATCCATATAAAAATATTTTATTTAAAATTGATAAAAATAGAGTTATAATTTATATATAATAATATATAATAATATAAAAAAATGTATCAAAAGGAATATTAGATAAAAAAAAAAAAAAAATATATATAAACTCTTGTTAACCTATCATTAAGAAATCCCCAAGAAATCTGTGCTAATTTTTTAGTTAAATCTTTATCATATTTATTTAAATTACTAAATAGAGAATGAATATATGGTAAAATAAATAAATGCGGATGCTGATTAATTTTATAAACTAAAAATCCAATTTCTTTTAATATAAGAAGTTCATACGTATAAATATCTACTTTCATATTTTTATATTCCTATTAATTCATATTTAATAAAATTAGAAAAAATAAAAAAGTATAAATATATATTTTTTTTTAAAATATTTCTTATTTATTACTTGGGATTCTATGTCAATTTTAAAATGTTCAATTTTTATATTTTTGACATCAAAATAATAATGTTTACTTTTTAAATCTTCATATTTATATAAAAAATAAAAGGTATTAATTATTTTATAAACACGATGAAAATCTTCTTCTAGTTTACATGATAAATATAATGAAGATGGAGCTATAATCTAAAAAAAAAAAAAAGAAAAAAAAAAAAAAAAATTGTAATTTAATTATGGTGTTTTAATAAATGTCTTAAATCTAATAATGTTATAGACATATGGAATTTTACTTTCACATCAAAATCAGTTAAGGACTTTTTAAAATAAAAACGATGAAACAAAACTTGACTAGTTGCTATAGTTACAGGTTTAAGCTTCAAAATTATTCCTGCTTCTTGTATTAATTGGCATCCATATATTCTTAATTTAATTTCAGTATTTTTTTCAATATTTTTTTCTTCACTTGGAGTTTTCACTTTTTCTTTATCAATTAAAATTATATCATTAATCATATTTTTAAAAATGTTTATGATTTTTTTAAATAAAGTTTAATTTATCTAAAAATAAAAAATCATAATAAAAAAAAAAAAAAATAAAAATAAAAAAAACACTTTTATATATTAATGAATTATATAAAAGTAAAAATAAAAACGAAAATATAAAAAAAAAAAAAGAAAAAATAATAAGAGAATAAAAAAAAAAAAATTAAAATGAAATGAAAAAAAAAAAAATAAAAAAAAATATATATTACAATGTGTTATAAATGTACATATGTAAAAGTATAATAAAATTTAATGCTTTAAAAGATTTTTCATTTGATTAAACTTTTCGTTAAGTTTAACTTTTGCATTTTGTAATTCTTTTAATTTCATAATATTGTGGATAATAATATTAAAATTATTACCTTCAAAAGCATTAATTGATTTATCAGAGTTAAATAAATTTGTTTGTAAAAATTTATTTTGTAAAAATTTTAAATTGGAATATTTTATGTTTCCTTCTTTTATTATTTCTTCATAATTAATATCATAAAATTGTTGATAAATAATTTCGTCACACAATTTTATTAAAACTTGAAGTACAATCATTTCAGAATACACTGATAAGTAATTTTCCCATTTTAATAAATCATTTATATTTATTTTAGAAAGATGTTCAATATCATCATAAATTATAATTCTTATAGTAGCTAACAAAATCGGATCAACAACTGATTCACCACCTATATAGAGATAATTTTTCTTATCATGAAATTGTACTTTTTCATCAATAAAAAATTTGTTAATACGATCTTTCATTTTAAATATATTATATTCATTAAAGTATTTATTTTTTCTTAAGTAATCATTTAATATTTCACTTTTTTTTCTTGTAATTTTGGCATTTTCTATGGTATTAGTATCAAATCTTTCATAAACATCCTCTTCGTTAGGTATAACATTTAGTTTTTTAAATAAATTTATTTTAACCTTCTCTAAGCTTTCTAACATTATAAGAGGCAATTTATCAAAACCTAATATTTGCAAAATTATTTCTCTTATTATTTTCACATCAAAATTAAAGTAAACTTTCATATTTCTTTTATCAATAAATCCATATTCTAATAGTAGAAGATCATTACTTAAATTTCCATAACTAACAGTAATTTCTTCATCTATTTCTATATTTTTTGTGCTAATTAAGTGAACATATTCTACACTTTCTATTATTGAATCCTTTAAATTGTTTTTCATATTTTCTTTCATTTTATATGCTTCGCTCATATTAACAGTTTTATTCTCATTTTCAACTTCATTAATCACATTTTGTTTAATCATATCATCATTTTTTTCATCAGGTGAATTAGGATGAGAAAAATCTCCCTTATTTATATTATATTTAGTATCTTCAGAAACATAGGAAGTTTTTCTTTTTTTTATATCTTTCTTTATGATAGAATTATTATAGAAACTGTTATGATTACAAACATCTATTAAAGGAATTAAACACATATATTTATTTTCTTCTTCTTTTTCTTTTTTTTCGTACACATTAAAATTATATTTAGAACATTCATTTATATAAAATTTTTCTGAAATTTTATTATTGTGTTTCATTATAATATTACTATTTAAAATACTATCTTTTAAAACACAGTGATTGTTATTTTCCTCTTCTTTTTTTTTTTTTTTTTCTTCCTTATTAAAAATTACTTTATTTTTTATTTTTATAGAATGAGAACAAATATATGAATATACATGTGTTAAAAATTTATAATTAAAAAATTCTTCAAATGAGTCAAATATAAATGAATCATAAATAGATGAATTAATAAAATATTGAAAATTTCTATTTATGCACTTATCGTTATTATTTTCATTAAATGATTCTTCATTAAAATTGTAATTTCTCCATTTTTCATTATTTACATCACTTTTCTGATCATTATTGATATTATGTTTAACAGTATTAGAATATTTATCATTTAGTAAAATAAACCGATACAATTTATTTACATCTATTGTATTACTACTTTCTATTTTTGATAATGGAACATTAATATTATTTTTAAAGATGCTATTATTTTTAAAATTTTGAACTTCATGGTAATATTTATTATTACTAAATAAAAATTTATGTATAAAACGTTTGTCAATAAAAAAAAAATTATTATTATTTTCATCATCATTTTTATATAAATTTATTAATTCATGAATCATTTGTCTTCTAAAATATATTATATTTCTTATATTGGTGTTATTAAAAAGAAAAAAGGATGAATCAGGAAAGTTTAATGGCAGATAATTTAACTCTTTTTTATTTACAATATAATTAATGTAAAATTCATAATCTTTAAAGAAGAAAAAATTTTTATGATTTTGTAATTCCAATTCTATATTTTTCATCAGTATATTATTTATTTCATTTATACAATTTAAGGAATAACAATCCATAGTTTCTAATGTATCATAAATATTAATGTTATTTTTATCATAAAATTTATTATTGGTATTTTTGTCATTCCTTTTATTCTTAATGCTATTTCTTAAATTATTATTTAAGAAATTTTTTATAGTCGTTTTATCATTGTTGGTATTTTCTCTAAAAATATTATTCATTATATGAAAAATAGTATTATTAAAATTATAAACATAAAGTAAAACATTTATATATTTAGAAATAAAATAAATGTATGTGATTATCAATGTTAATTTGATATCCCAATATTTTAAATAAATATTTGAAGATTTAATAAAAGTTAGAAAATTCGTATGCTTTTGATAAATATCATATTTTAAAATTGTTAAAGAATCCAATTCATTTATTTGTTCCTCTAAGTTATTTTTAAATATATATTTTATATAATTAACATTATAAGATTCAGAAAAAGAATCTACATATTCTTTAATTTGATTTATTATATGATCAAAATTAATTATAAATGAACTAGGTATACTACATATGATTTCTGATTTCCTAATTTTTTTCTTTGCTTTCATACATAAAATCTGGTCATCGCTTTTTCTTGTTTTTTCATTATCTGTATTAGTATTTCCAACATTATTATCTTTGCTTAAGTAAAGTTCAAGATTTTTGTTGACTTCTAATTTATTTTCAATAATAAAATCTTTTATTTTATTTTTTAAATATCCATAATTATTTCTATTTTCATGAATAAACTTTATATTATGTAATGATAACTTATCTTCAAAATAATTGATTAAATCATTTATATTAAAATCATTTTTTACATTGATGTATTCATTTTTTTTATTAATTGACCACTCTAATAATTTATTGAAATTGTTTAATGAATCATTATCAGTAATATTTTCATTTTTAAATACATTTAAAACAGTGTCTTTCTTTTTGGCATTATATAAATAGTACTTAAAATTCTTTGTACATCTATTAGTTGTGACTAGAATACCATTTTTATATTTTGAGTAAGAATTTTTAATAAAAGGAAGATACTTTCTTTTGTTTTTAAATATTTTTTTATTTTCAATTAAAAATATATTTATTATTAATATTGCACATTTTATGTATATTTCAATTTTATTCATATTATTAAATGAAAAAAGAGATTAATTGCATCATTTTAAAAATCAAAATTACTTATTAGTTTCTACAATTCTCATAGATATTCATATAAATAAGAAAAAAAAAATTCTTTTTTTATTTTGTTTTTTATTCTTTTATATTGAAGATTATTAAACAAAGTTTATAAAAAAAATGATTATTATATACTCTAAGTATTTTTTTTTTTTTTTTTTTTTTTTTTTTTTTCTGATAGAGACGAGCTTATTTTGTGAAAGTTTAAGATTACAATTTTTAACTTAATGTATATATATATATCTTAGATTGAAAATTTACATAATTTACTTTATACAATAGCTAATCATGATTTTAAAAGAAGAAAATTTATATATAAAAGAGAATTTATGTTATTTATTCTGTTATATTAATAATGGATTTTCAAAAATAAAAAAAAAAATTATAATTAAATGTTCCATATTCATATAGATGTTTACATTAATTAAATTAAATTTCTAATGTATTATTTTATATTAATTTATAGGAGATTAATTAATAATTAAAAAAAATACAGAATAAAAGAACAAGAAAAAGATTAGGAACATACCTATTTCTTGTATTTTAAGTACACAAATATTTAATTTTTCATTTATTTATTAGGTTTATTTTTGGCTTTTTTTCTTTTTTTTTTTTTTTTTTTACATAAATTATATATTTATATATTATATTACTTTGATAAAAGTAGGTTTAATTTTATTTATTTGAATAAATAAAAATTTAATAGTCTTTATAAATGCAGATATATTTTAGTAAAAGATTATAATTTTACAAGTATATTTTTTTTTAATTTTTCTATATGGATTTTTATATATGAAATACAAAATCTAAACCTTATAATTGTAATTTCACTTTATGAACTTTTTAATTAATGAAAAAAAAAATAAAAATTTTAAATAGTTATATAATTATAAAAAAAGATATTAATTTGATTAATATGTAAAAGAAATAAGATTTAACAAGAATAAATCAAAATATAATTTAAACAAAATCTTCTGAATAAAAACAAATATATATGTAAAGACACATTTTATTAAAATATGGAAAGTGTAGAATAAAAAATTATAAAAAAAAAAAAGTGTATAAAAATAGAAAATTAAAAAAGATATACATAAACAAAAAATAATAAATGTAGTTGTATATATAAATAAATGAAAAACACAGTTTAAAAAATAAAAATGTAAGCAATAGAATTAATTTATAAAAGCTTTTTTTTTTTTTTTTTTTATTCATTATGCATGCTTAAAAAAAGAAAAAAAAAAAAAATATATTTTAACTTAAAAATATCATAGTTAAATTAAAATTTAATTCTGAAGCTAAATTTATTTAATAAAATACTTTAAATTAAAAATTGAAATATTTATTTATTTTTATAAACATTTTTTTTTATATTATTTTTTTTCTTTTACCATTTTTTATGAGATTTCCTGAAATACACAAAATAATTTACATATAATTAACCGAATTTCATTGATATATTTGTATATATATATATATTTACTTTTTAGTATACATTAATTTTTTTTTTTTTTATTCAAAATTATTTATTTATTTTAGTTATATATATATAAAATGGTGAATGATGATATAATTAAACCTGATTCAGGTAAGGATAATCGTAGTACAATAGCCAACTTTGGAATGCTTGATAATTTTTTCGAAAATATGTATGAACAAATGAATAAAATAGATCAATATCATCATGATATGAGTAGGATGATGAATTCATTAAGGGAATGTTATTTTGGTAATGATTATTTTAATAAATATTTTCCTGAAAGAAGATCATTATTAGATTATGATTTTCGAAAAAATAGAAATACAGAGTTATTTTTTCCTAAACCTCATAGTATTTTTAGAGGATATAAAAATATGCCACCAATGGATGTTATTGATAAAGATAAAGAAATTGAAATAAAAATGGATGTTCCTGGTTTAAATAAGGAAAATGTACAAATTAATTTATGCAATGGACGTCTAGAAATTAGTGGTGGTAGTCAAAAGACAGAAGAAACAAAAAATGAAGAACATAGATATTATGTAAAAGAAAGAATGGAATCCTCTTTTTATAGATCCTTTACATTACCTGAAAATGTATGTGAAGACAATATTAAAGCTACTTTTAAAGATGGAGTTTTAAAAATTGGTATACCTAAAAAAGAAATTTCAGAAAAAAAAAAAATTGAAATTGAATAAACTTTTAATAATTTCCCTTATTTTTTAGATTTCGCATTCTTTTATTTTTATCTTTTAATCTTCTTAGACCCCCCTTTTTTTTCCCCATTATATCTTTTTTTAACTATCTTTTACTCTTTTTTTTCATCGAATGAAATTAATTTTAGTATATTATTTTTAATAATCCTTTTATATTTAACATAACATTTAGTTTTTTTCATGTTGATATTAAGAAAAACATAAGAATTACCGTAAAAAAAAATCACTTGAAATATTAACTTTATAAATATATATATATATATATATTATAAAATATTTCGAGAGATAGACTTATGTGAACATAAATTAAAAATTTTTTTTATAGTGATGATATGTTGTTTAAAAGAAAAATAGTTTTATTTCGTGACGTTTTTTTTTTTTTTTTGTTTTTTGAAATTTCCCCCCCAAAAATTTTTATAGCTGTGTAAATTAATAAAACGGGAAATTTTTAAGATAAAAATTAATAAAAAAGGAGATTAACATTTTTTTTTTGAAAAATATTTCTTTCAAAATTAAACTTTTTTTTTTTTTTTTCTTGTTTTCCTTTTTACTATTTATTAATCAAATATTTTTTTTTTTTTTTTTTTTTTAAAGAAAAAACGAATTGATTATAAAATTTATTTTTTAAAAAAATTAAAAATACTTTTCTATTAGGAAAATGGAACTTTTTTTTACATTTTACGTAATAATAAATATTTTCTATTTTTTATAAAAACTCTTAAAAAAATAAAAAATCATATTAAAACGAAACCACAACATTTCTGTGAAAATTTTTAAATATTAAAAATTTATTTACATTAATGAGCTAAAATATTTGTGTAATAAAGTAAAAAAATATATGACAAATATAGAAAGAAATTTATTTTAATAAATGAAATAAAGAAGAAATTATGAATTTATAATTAAATTGAAAGTATAAAAGTGGGTAGGCAAAAGAAGAATAATATATTATATAAGAAATAAAATTAAAAAAAAATAGTAAAAAAATAAAAATACAATATGAAATAAATTTTTAATTTGTAGTACTATGCACATGGAAAAATTTATATACAACCTTTTTTTGACATAAAAAAAAAAAAAAAAAAAAAAAAATGATGAAAAAATAGAAAGAATTTCTACTAATATGCTAATAGATTTATAGAAAAATTATATGTTTAATGTATGCTTTATTTTATAGATTAACTAAATAAATATTAAGTAGACAACAAAGAAAAAAATAATTCCTATCATTTTTATTCACTTATATGGTATATATTTTGAAAAATTGTAATTATTACTTTATTTTTTTTTTTATTGAGAAAATTAATTGGATGACATAAAAAAAAAAAAAAAAAAAATCTTTACCTATTTTGTAATATATATATAAATTGGTACATTTCATTTATTTCTTTATTGTAATTGAAAAAATAAAAAAAAGAGAAAAGTAAAATGGATGAAGATAATGAAGTAGTGGCTATGTTGTTAAATGTAGGTAAAAAAATTAATAAAAACCAAGAACAATTAAAACCTTTTATTAAAAAAATTGTAGAAGATAATTGGCTTGATTCATTAGAAAGTTTAAAAAGTTTAAGTGAAGATGAATGGAATAAATTAAATTTACCTATAAGATTAATAGACGAAATTAAAAAAGAACTAAGTATAAAAGAAAAGGAAAATAATACTAAAAATAATGAATTAAATGAATCAAACTTCGCAAATAATTATAAATGTAAAAAGGGACCCACGAATATATGTGAGGAAGAGAAAAAAACTAATATTAATTTAAATAAAAAAATGAAAAAGAATAAATGTGATGATAATGAAAAAAATATTATTGATATAAAAAATTATAACATGAGAAATTTTAATATTTTAACTGATAATCATTCAGAAGTGAAAAATGAGATGCCCATTTTAAGTAATCATGAACACATTGAGTGTAATGAACAGAAAAACGTTGAAACAGCAAAATTAGAAAATAAGGAATTATTAAAAAATTCTATAATAAAATTTAACAAAGAAAAGTATGAGGAATTAATTAATAATAACATTAATGATATTCAAAATGAAGATATTTTTTATTTATCTTATGATAATGACATTAGTGAAACCTACTACCATTCAAACGATGAAACATTAAAAAGTGTTAATATTATTAACGAAATAGAAAATCTGAAAAAAATTGAGATTAACGATCTAAAAATTATAATTCCAATTTTTTGTAAAATTATTAAAAATATATTAATAAACCCAAATATATTAAAAACAAGAATTTTAAAATCAACTAATGACATTATGAAAAATAAGATTTTGAAGTATGATGAATCTAGAAATTTCTTATTTTTTATTGGTTTTGTTAAAATAGCTTCTTATTTTGTTATGGAAAAGGTTGATACTGTTTTATTACTATGTATTTATGATAATTTGAAAAATTTTGCTAAAGGTTCTATAAAAATGGATGCTAAACCTAAAACATTATTTGACCCTTTTAAATCGAGTATTGTTTGTTTAGACACTTTAAAAAAAAGCAAATTAAAAACAGATAACGAAATGGATCAAATTTTAAAAAAAAAAAAAGAACAAGTTGAAAAATTAATGAGTCAAACAACTGAACTTAATCCTAAAATATATTTGTATCAGAAAAATGTCAATGAAAATAAAATCAATAAAAATTTTGATTCATCAGATACAGATAAAGATGAAAGTAAGGAAGATGTATCTCATCTTATATCAAATATTAAAAATTTATATAAGGAGCAAACTTTTCAATCAAAAACTAAGTTGGAGTTAGAGAAAATTTCCAATAGAAAAGTTTATGTTAAAACTGTTTTAAAAATATTATTTCCAGATTTTTATGTATTAGAAATGTCTTTTTCTTCAGGAACATTAATAAAAGAAGTAAATGAATGCATAAAAAAGGTATAAAAAAAAAAAAAAAAAAAAAAAAAAAATGAAACGAAATAAAGTTAAAACATGATAATATGTATATTGAATATATACACCATATATATATATATATATATATATATTTATTTATTTATTTATTTATTTATTTNTCAGGGTTTAGGGTTCAGGGTTCAGGGTTTAGGGTTCAGGGTTTAGGGTTCAGGGTTCAGGGTTTAGGATCAGACAGGTATGTTGAAGAGGTTTTAAAAATTAGTAGAAAAATTCCTAGTTTTACTTAAGGGGGAGAGGGAGGGGGGGAGGGGGGAATCTTTAAATCTCTATCCCAGACCTCTCTGAAGTCAGTTTAAATATTTTTACGGATCTGACTTGTAAACTTAATTATTACAAGAAGTTAAGAGTAACATCCATTTTAGTTAATATTTTATGTACGGAAGTAACTGTTCTTTCTGAAACAGTCGGATTAGTTTTCTCACTGGTGAATGGAGAAAACTAAATGCTTGAATAGATGTCTATGAAATATAAGGAGTGAGACACCTTTTGGGAGAGCTCATATTTTTATTTTTATTTTAAATAGGGTACAGATAATAAGTTTTAACTAGACAGCTGGCATATGGATGGCTAAATCTGAGGCAAGACCAACTGTAACTGATAAATAAAAGACACAGGCAACATAGGCAAGGGCTTACTTTAATCCTAAGGCAGACTTTCTGAAAATGTATGCAAACTAAATACTCTTGTTCCAGTTGTCCTTACACATATTTAGCAGTATCTTCACAAATTAGTCACTGAGATTAATTCAAACCACTGCAGAGAATGAAGTCTGCCTTGCCAATATGGGATGTGATTTTGCTTGCGTTATTTATATGAACACTTAAAATGATGGAAAAATATGTTATACGGAATCTATTTGGAGATCAGGGAAGCAACACAACAAACTGTTTTAAAAATATTATTTCCAGATTTTTATGTATTAGAAATGTCTTTTTCTTCAGGAACATTAATAAAAGAAGTAAATGAATGCATAAAAAAGGTATAAAAAAAAAAAAAAAAAAAAAAAAAAAATGAAACGAAATAAAGTTAAAACATGATAATATGTATATTGAATATATACACCATATATATATATATATATATATATATTTATTTATTTATTTATTTATTTATTTATTTATTTATTTATTTATTTATATGTTTTATCTTTATTTTTTAAGTTTTTACATGATTCAATTTCTTCAAGAGAGTGGTATATATATGAAACTCCAGGTATATATAAATTTGATCCTCAAAAAAAATTATCTGATTACAACTTATTTCCACATGCTCTTTTAAGATTTAAACTAGTTGATAAAAGTAATAATTTAGTGAACACTCGTTTTTTATCTGATGAAGCAATTTCAAAATATTTTCAATTAAAATAAAAAAAAAAAAAAAAAAATTATCACATAAAACAATCAAGTTAACATTTAAGTATATATAATATCTTCATATATATTGTCTAAAGTTATTTTAATTTTTTTTTTATTTATTTTTCCTTATGTTAACTTTTTAAAGTATAAGAATATATTTATGTGTCTTTTTACATCTAATTTTAATATTCGAAATATTTTTAAGTTTATTTTTTTTTAATAGGAAGTTCGAATTTACTATATTTTTTTAATTAAGTTTGATATATGATGTTTTGATAGTTTTTTCTTAACATTTTTTTATTACTCATTTTAATTTTTTTTTATATTTTCAATGTCTTCAAATTTTTTTTTTTTTATACATCTTAAAATTATTTATATTTATCACCTTGAATTTATTTTTTTTTAAATCTTTAATATCTTCAAATTCATATTTTTATATTTCTAAAAAATTATTTGCATTTATATTCTTTAATCTATATTTTTTTTTTTTTTTTTTTTTCTTTGCTTTCCTTAATATAATCTTCAAGTTATTACTAACTTAAAATTGTTCTAAAATTTTTTAAATTCATAAATATATTGTTTTTGAATTATAAATTTTCTTAAAAATATTAAAAATAATGTAATCACAAAAAAAAAAAAAAAAATAAAAAAAAGAAATTTTAAGTGTGTCAATGTTATACCATAAAATACGAATTTTAAAAGTATATAAAGTTAAAAAATAAAGAAATATAATTAAATTAATAAATTATAAGTTAAGATATATTTAAATCTATTCATTAATAATATAAAAAAATAAAAATAATGAAAAATAATATGGCATTAAGCATACAATGAAAATTCAATAATTAATGTGAAATTAAAATAAATAAAAAATATAAACAATTCTCTTTATATTTAAAATTAATAAATAAAGATATTTACTCAAAAAAAAAATAAATTATTTTTTGAAGTATATTTTTTGCTGATGTTGTTTCATATTTATTGTTGTAAACCTCAAATTTGTAATAGATATCTTTCATTTTTTCATTATATTCATCATTTTTTTGTAGAAATAACTTTTTAAATTCTTCTTTTGATTTTTCAAAATCATTTTTTGTTTTCCACTTATCTATAATTAAATATGTATTAAAACTTTTATCACTATGTTCATTCTTAAAATTAGAAAAAGAAGAATTCTTAAAAATACTAGTTTCACAAAACCCTTTGTACTTTTTGTTAATTTTATTAAAATTTTCTACAAATTTTAGTAACTCGTTTTCGTTTTGAATATTTAATTTATTATCATTGTATTTATTATCATAAATATTTATTTGTCTTACTATTATTATATCATGATTATCTTTTATTCCATGAATATTTAATTCATTTTTTCTATATAATTTATTCAAACTCCATCCAACAGTGCCACTTATCAATATTGTAAATATAGAATTTTTGTTTATACTCATTATATTATATATATATATATATATTTATATATATATAAATATATATATATATATTTTTAATTAAATATATTCAGACAATTTTATTTTAATATTAGCATCTTTATAGAAATATTTATCAAAATTTATAATACATTTTAAGATTTTAACATAGAAACTAATATATTTTAAAATATGTTCATATTATAATAATTACAATTTTTTTTTTTTTTTTTAACTAAAAATTGTTATTACTCTTATCAAATCAAAATAATTAAAAGAAATTTTAATTAAATAAATTACTTTCAAATATATCATAAAATTATTCTGTTTATTTAGAAATTATATTATTCTTCATAAAATTATTAGAACAAGAATATTTCTGATTTTAAAAAATTTTATTTTTTTTTAAATTTAAAAATGTTTGAAGTTTTTTTTTTTTTTTTTTTTTTTGTTTTTAGAAAATTTTCTA